AAATCTGATCAGTATAGGCACCACAAGGGGCTTTGGTTCATAGGAACGGCAACTGGGAACTGGCACTGGCCTTGGCAGTGGACTTTCATTCTCGATGATCCTACAAGATTGCGCAGTTGTCATTACCTCCTTTTAGCAGAGAAGGTTGAGTGACTTGTCTGGTTCAAATAGCTAATAGATAGCAAGACCCTGACTTAGACTCAAGTGTGGGTCTACTCCTGAAAAGATTTGAAGTGTCAGAAACCACAAGGGGCAGTTCTACTCTGTTCTATAGAGTTGGAATCGACTCGATGGCAGGGAGTTGAGTGAGTGAGTGAGTGCCCCTACCTAGAGCTCCGAGACTTTCCAACCTGCATGCAGAATAACCGCTGCCTTGCACGTTCAACTGCCGGGGGTTTTCATGAAATTTTCTATGGGTTTGCTACGAACAAGCCCGTTCTTCATAACTCATTAATATATTTTGAATTTCTTAGGTAGTATTTGGGCATTAAAGAGTCTACAATAGGAGAAATTAAGCTGTTAAAAATCAAAACAAAATGAGGGGTTGGCAAATTGTGGCTCTCGATTCATATGCAGCTCTGTTGGTAGGTACATGTGTCTCTGAAGTAAAATTGCAAAAAAAAAAAGATTAAGGGTTTTATTCAGAAAAGGATGATTTCATTTGTTTCTAAAACTATATTTATGGCTCTCAACTAATTTTTAAACTGTTGTGAGGGTCAACAGGATTGTCTCTATGGTCTCAAAAATTTACTGACTCCTGCTCTAGAAGCATGAAATTTCACAATACTTTGTTAAATGTCCCTTATTATACAAGGAAGACTGAAGGAGGAAGGGAGGCCCTAACATCTTTGAATGATGTTAAAGGCTAATAGAAATGACTTAGATTCAGAAATACTAAAGAATGTTGGAGTTCTTTTTGGCTTCACTGCTCAGGTAGGTGTTCGGGGGAAACTTCCAGCATCCTTTACTCCTGCAGTGTCATGATTCCCCTTAGGTAGCTCTGAAGAGCTTTCCTTCACTCATGGTGACCCCAGACAGAGTGCAGCTGAAGGACACCTGGTCTGACTAGTCTGACATCTTCCCCATCATTGCAGAGTGGATGCTTGTGACGCATGGCGATTTTATTGGTTGGTTCTCAGAAGTGGATTACCAGGCCATTTTAGTCCACTGGAACCTGTGCATCATAGTAACTTGGCAAGCGCCCACTGATGGGTTGTGGTGCTCTGTGATGTAGTTCCAAATAAATCTGCCATTGAAAACTCTGTGGAGCATAATTCTCCTTTCACACTGAGGGGAACATGAATCTGAAGCAACTCAACCACCCTGATGTTTTAAAGAACTTAAATATTGCTTACACCTATTTTGATGACATGCATTTCTTTTGAGTTATGAAGGAAAAGGCTTGGATGAGGTTTTCACATTTTGAGTATTTTGCGGTTTGAATCTCAAAGTGAACATGCAGCCTGATCCTCTGATCCCCTGACTGCTTCCCACCCCACTCCCGCCTTTTTTTTTTTTTTGGCTTGGCAAACTTTAGTAGGTGAAGCAACTGACTTCCTTTTTCTAGTATGTTTGGTGATAAAAATCATGAGCATATGGGCGATTAAACTTTTGAACTGAGGCTAGGCTAGGATTTTAAGAAACTGTAAACACTTTAGAAAGAAGCTCAATGGTGAACATTTAAGCAAAAGGAAATAATATGTCATTTGGCAGACAGGTTTTTGGAAGAATTTTAAGACTCCTGCAATATGTTTTATGTATAAGAGCAAGATCAATGGGTTTGAAATGGGCTAGTTCCAGAGAAGGCTTTAAAAATACAGTTCCCATGATCTTTTTGAGTGGATCTGTTGTAATAAAAAGCTTTTTTCCTTCTTATAGCACCAACAGAAGTTTGTTTCATTTTCCAGGAGGAATCTTAGATGTGCTTCAAAAGATATCATTCTGGTTAAATTAAAATCCTATCGACTGGAACTTTAACTTTAATGTAAAAAGAATAAATGTGCAAAAGAATAAAGTTTAGTATTTCCCCCCTAGTTTGATTATTATATTAGACCTCAAAAAATGTATAAAGGACTTACTGTGGGGCAGACAGATTGGGTGGAGCAGGAGCCTTGAAAAGCGAGGTCACTGGTTTTTGGAAGCTTCAAATATTTTGGGGGAATACATATTAAATGATGCAAACAAATAAACAAACACATTAATTACAACAGTGATAAATGTGATCAAGGTAAGTGGGGTCCCCATCTGCAGCGTATGGTCTGCAAGGGATGTCATGGAGGCCATGTGAGCTGAGACCTAAATAGAGAGAAGAGGCAACCTTTGGGAGGTCCCAGGATGGAGAAACTAGTAGTAAAAATTGGTTGGAGGTGGCATCTGATCTTTAATTTCTGTGCAAGAGAGAAAATCAAGAGCACCAGCATCAGTTGGCCAAAGCTAATTCCCAGGAGGTGGAGGGCAGACATGCCTCAACCAATAAACTTCTTTTCACTTATTCTAACATCAGCCAGCCCATCTGTTGCACCCTGTTTCTCTGCTGGGGTTGATAATTTGTTGCAATGGCCATACAAAACTCACAGATGTACCCAGAGATATGGCGTTTATTAGGGAAGTGTCAGAACCTCCCAAAGGTTGCCTCTTA